GCATGCCTACTGGGTATGTCTAAACACACACTGATGTATACACAATCTTTAGAGCATACAAGTCAACCATGTTAAAAAATAAGGTTGCAGAAAGCGTTAGGCGATGGTGGGCGGTTGCCCACAGCCTAGAGCCTAGAGTGCCTAGGTGGTGCCTAGGCCTTTTTTTTTTAATAATAATGTTTTGATATAATTCTAAGAGAATAAGAAAAAAATGTAAAACAATTTTAAAAATGATAAAATAAATAGAAAAATTAAACATTTTTTATTCATTATTATGTCTAAAGAGCAGAATTTAAAGGAATTACTTGGTATTTAATGTTTTTTTAATATAATTTTTATAATAAATTAAACAACATCATTTCATTAGGCTAAAAAATTAATAAAAAGCATTTGCTCAAGCACTCTAGGTGCCATTAAGCACGCTTAATGGTGCTTGGATGTACTTAATGATCTGGGTGGTGCAAATCGCATTGAATTTCTGCAGACAGAACGGCATTGCCTAGAGCCTAGGCTGATGCAGGCGGAATGGCACTGCCTAGAGCCTAGGCGCTGCCTAGGTGGGCTTTTTACAACACTGATTGCAACTGTAGACGGTACAAATGACTGTTTTAGATGTGAAAACATCTTTGATGGGAAAGATGGATGTTGTTTTCTCATCACTCTGCACCTTTCCTGAACTCATTATTTTTATAATGAAATTGTTTGATGCCATCCAAGAAATAGATATCTGAACCATGACTTATCATGTTAAAACCATTTGCAGAGAAAATGGCTGGGGGAAGAGAGAAAATGGCTGCAGGAAGATATCACCTCATATTGGCCAATCAAACATCTCAGAATCATTTCAACCTCTAAGACTGAAACCCCCTAAGCAGAAGGTTTCTCCAGCCATGAGCACCTTACAAAAGTTCTATGGTCTGAAAACTCCAAATCACAAGGGTGCATCTGAAGGTACAGAAATGGCTGTCTACGGAACAGGGAGCTTGGATTTCTTAAGCAATGGTCTGATACCTAAAGCCTCACCACTTGCTAACAATCATTCAGATCAGCATCGCAAGTCTAGAAATTTGGGTAATGGCCTTTTGCCTGAGAATGAAGTGAATGGGCATGTCCCTCTTGCGGAAGCTGGAGAGGGAGAGGGTGAGAGATCCAGTGAAAAGTCTGTACGAAGGCGTCAGAAAGCTGAGGCTGATTTCAAAGCTGGTACACCAGAAAGGTTGATGAAAGAAGAAAATGGTGGTGGAAGCAGTGGCTTCTCACCAATAATAGGAAAAGGTCTAGCCATGAGAACCAAATCAGCCAGCCGTCCACTGCTTACTGCAGAATCAGATTCAGGATGGTTAAATCCTATTCCGATTGGTTTGGGAGATTCTATAATCCCAGATGGTCTAGGTGGAGTTCGTAAATCATCAAGCACTCCGGCCCTCCAAGAGCAGGAAAATGGTCATTCATCATCTGTTTGGACAACTTCAAAATGGAGTTTGAAACCTGACTTGCAGGCTCTTTCAACTGCTGCAATCACAATACCATTATTTGATGGCTTGCCAAATCCAATAGCTGGACGAAGGAGCAAGGCTGCCCTTGATTAGCAATTCCTATGGCATACATATTACTCTACGTTGTCATTTTAGTGTCAAAGTATAATTGGAAGGGTAAAAACCCTTTGAAAAGACAGGTAAACAAAACAACATACTATCAACAGATGAGCCTTATACAAGTGTGGATATCATGAAGAGTTTTACTAGCAAATAGGTGGTTAGGTGGTGCAGCTTGAGTAAGCATCAATGAAGGCGGTCTTCTACCTCGGACGTTTCACAGTTTTAAAATTTAATTGTAATGTTCTGTCCCAAATATAATAAATCATGGTTGTCCCACCTGAGTTGGGAATTCAAATGTACTAATAATCTTTTATTGAATGGTGCAGCTCCTTTTGTATTGGAGGCTTACCTTTACTCAACTCAAGGTCTGCATTTTCTTTTTCTTTTAGAAGGAATGCAATAACGTGTCTTAAAAGATCATTGGAAGAGAGATTAGTATTCAACTGTACAAAAACTTACTCGAGACACCTTAATTATATATATATATATATATAGAAGGAATTTGCTTATAAATAAGTTTTACACAGTATAATTATATAAAATCTTAATAATTTCTCATTTTACTTTTAACATTGTTTTTAACATTCATTAAAAATAATTATTATTTTTATTTAAAAAATTATGATAAATTTCAACTATTGAAAGTTAAAGACGAATGATTAAAATTTTTGATAAATATAATAAGTAAAACTTGTTCGTGATTAAATTTCTTTTTATACACACACATATATATATATATGTGAATTTTTAAATTTTAAATTGAATTTTAAATAAATAAAACAATATCATTTAAAGTTAGAACTCTAATTTTTTTATGAGAGTTGAGATTAAGATGCATTACCACATATATATATATATATGAAGAGTGATCGATTTATATACAAATTTCACATATCAAACTTATACAAAATTTTAATTACTATCTCTTCACTATCAATAATTTAGATTTGTATTGATTTTTAAGTGAGTAAAAATTTATTTACATACAAATTTTATACACTATATTTATATAAAAAAATTCTCTAACTTAGGATACAAGTTAATGAGCAATTAATAGGGAATCAAAATGCATTTAATATAGTATCTCTATCTCGTTTCAAAAAAAATATAGTATCTCTATCTAAATTTTTTAAAAGCTTTAATGATAAGATTTTAATTTTTTTGTTGGGACGTTTATACCCTTCTCTCCTTCCTTCCCATAATCTCTTCTTTATCTCTTTTCCACTTCTCACTCTTTGAAGTCCAGTAAAAATGTTTTTAGATCAAACAAACACCAATTCCAAACAATTCCTCTCCCAGTCATTGTTGCGTCCTCTGGAAAGATTTTCCATCTAGTTATTAACATTCCAAAACCCAAAATTGTCTTCATCATCCTCATCGCTCAAGCTTGCAATGGCAAGGAGGGAGGAAAGGGATGTGAGACGCAGATGGGGAGGCGGAAAGGCAGAGGAGAGAGAGGGTTTAAATATTTTATGGTACTGTTATGAGGGGTATAAACATCTCAATTGAAAAATTAAAATCTTTTCAATAAAACTCTTAAAAAATTTAAACACAGATACTATATTAAATGCATTTTGATTCCCTATTAATTACTCACTAAACTATGCTTTAAGAGTACATGTTAGTTGATCCTTATATAAAATCACATTCATCTTTTTATTTTTAATAATTAAGATTTATTCACATTTATTAAAAATAATTATTTTTTATTTAAAAAATCGTGACAAATCTCATTTATCGAAAATAGTGAAATAAATAATTAAAATTTTATATAAATATTGTATATAAAACTTATATGTGAATGAATTCTCATAATATATATAAATTTTATATAAATATAATATATAAGATATATATAAATAGATTTTATATATATATGTGAGTGAATAGAGGTATATATGTAAATAAAAACTATTTATATACAAAACTTATATACTATACTGATATAAAATCTTGACTATTTATTTTTTCACTTTATATATATGTGTGTGTGTGTGAATAGAGGTATATATGTAAATAAAAACTATTTATATACAAAACTTATATACTATACTTATATAAAATCTTGACTATTTATTTTTTCACTTTTAATAATTGAAATTCATTTAGTTTTTATAATATTTACTAAAAATAATTATTTTAAAAAAAATCAATTATTAAAAATAAAAAGATAAATTGTCAAAATTTTAAATAAATATAATGTAAAAATATTATGCACAAATAATCTAATATATAAAAAATGCAACAGAATGTCTTCTACAAATGCAACTTTTTTTCATTTTTGGCATTTACAATCGGATACTTACCATATCCAACACTTGGCTTTGATACGTTAGTAACATTACTAAGAAATGGTATATGCCACTGAAATTGTAATGAATGAAAAGGCAATGAAACAGTCGAAAACTTATGTATTAGACATTGGAATGAAATCCCTGACGTAATGTACTTTTCAGTTTCCATATTGTAAGTGCAAACCCCTTTCACTGCAGTGCATGAACATGAAACCACTCTAAATTGCAGTCAGTAACAGTGTGCTAAGCAATTGAGGATCTAAGAGGAGGTAGTAAAACCTGCAAAAATGGTTTCTTGATAGTAAAGTCTCGAACATGAAAAAACTCGGTGTCTACACAAAACATGGTTCTCTGCTACAGCTAAATGCTATATTCTAACTCTCAAGCACTCAATTTCAGCTACGATTGTCTCTTCAGCCCCACACACGGGGATCACCATCTATTATTTGGAGGTTTAACCTTATAGATACGAACTATCCAGTTTGATGTTGTAAATGCCTCTTCCAGGTATTCAAGTTTAACGTCCTTGTTACCTATTTCAACACCACGTGCACGGTCATACCTGCCACACAAAAAATCAATCACAGGAACTCAGGAATATCCAAGGAGGCAATACAAAAGTTAAAGCACTATGGAGCCTCTAATATAATCAGGACAAAATATAAAGATACTTCCAAACTTCAAAGCAGAGAAAGACAATTGTCATGAATGATGCGTACAAAAAGAATGATTCTCACAGATACATCATCACTCATCACTCATATATAAAACTCTATTCTCACTAGTTAGCCTAATACCCGTGTAATGCAACCAACTCATTTTTACAATTCCTGCATTTCTTACTCATTGTTTTAAAACCCCCAATGGCCTTAACACATTCATTTCAAGGTCTGTGTTGAATCTTAAATTAGAATACTCAATTACACACAAGTGTTGTAAAATATTACAAAGTGGGCTGCATGCAAGTGCATGTGGACATGTTTGCATGCCAACAGCTAGAAAAGCAAATCAGACCCAACTTACCCTGGAGGTTTGCCATATTCTGTAACCATCTCTCCAAATCGATAGTAGCACAGCTTGTACCTGATCCAAGAAATTATGAATAAGACTAGACTTCCCAACACCAGAAAGTTGCAGAAAACAATTATGAATGATTGGCATGGTCAAAAATAGAAACACCTGTAAATTTACAGATTCTATACACCAAAGAGCATGAGAAAGAAAAAAAAATAGTACTGCTGAACTTATTGATGACACTGGTCTTACCATAAAAGACTGCACATGTTTTGAAATCAAAACATGTAGGACTGTAGGACATCACAAGAATCACAAATTCATAATCATATGCACAAATAATATTTAGTGACAGATAAACATAAAATATAAGAAATCAATAAACATTTGCTTATGGTACTCTTTAGAGAGGATCTACAATTTTCCATTATCAGAGAGGCATATTTTGCACTCGTTTACCAATTGTAATGGACTAGAGTCTGTTTTAGATCATATTTAAGCATAGTTTTGATGATAAGTTCTATAATAAAAGATTATATCAAACTATAAGCATAATGAATAATGATCATCGCAATCAACCATTTAGATTACTTCATAAGGAAAGTAATGACACCAAAATGCATAAATATGACAAGGCACTTACATCAGACAATTCAACATTTTTGGAGCTGCACCTTTGTCAACACGATACTCGCCATTAACAAGGTAATCAGGTTCTTTAATTATAGGGAATACTCCTCCTCCAATTCTCACCATCCACAAAAATCTAGTTCAAAATATGAAAAAAATATTTAGCATTCAATAAAGGGGCTTTCATGACAAACTAAGAAGGTTGCAAAAAGGGAATATCATTGCAAGAGTCAAGAACACATTACAGTTTCCTTTTTCTATTTCATGTTTGGGGTGGATAGAAATGGAGATTGGGTGAGAGAACAAGGGATAGAGGAAGTTTGATGTCCAATTAAATGCATTAATTATATCTTTCAATCAAAAGAAAAACAATGTCAGTCCCCAGACTTCAAAGGACAGTAAGATTGGAGCACTAACTGCTTTGAGGCACCATTTTGGAAAAAAAGACAGGTAGATTGAAAAGAATGCATAGAGACTTACTTGTTAATATCATCAGAAGAATAACCAGTCACACCCCCAAAGACAACTAATACATAATCAACATCAAGTGATCTCATTATCTCATATGCCTCATCTTCATAAGATGACATGGCACGTCCAACGGTAGCAATATGTGTGTTGTTCCATGTATTATTGTCAACAATAACAGTTCTGTTTCCCATGGCCGTGATCTGATATCCATAGTCCCACCAAGACATCACCTTAGCATCTGGAGGAGTATTTTGCCGAAGCCAAAAGTATGCCTCACGATAATCATCAAAGATAACCCTGTTGCCATGGGCACCTCTTGCAGCCAATACAATTGATGGAGAAGAGTATGCTTCTGATGTCACCCAAGTACAGTGGGTAGCATACTTACTGAGCAAGTAAAAAGCGCCAAGAAGCAAGGCAATAGCACCATTTCTTTGGAAAGGCTGTGATTGATCAAGTGAAGTCTGCTTGGGAAACAAACAAGAGGAAATATTAGTTTTTGGGACTAGAAGGAAATGTCCACATTAAATGATTTCCAGAATAAACTTCAATCTCACAACAATAAATGCAATGTTCATTTCTAGATCACAAACTTCAGGAATAATTGAAAACAAAATGAAGGCCGATAATGAAACAGAATTTATTCTCTTTTTTCCTTTTTCTAAGAACCCAAAAACTCATCACATCCTGCACATCATAAATTCAGGAACAGATATTTCAACGGACTTCAAACCTATTATCATCAGAGACAAAACCAACTGGTTCCTTCACTCATAGTTTTATTAAGAACATTTTAGAAAAAAAGGCTACAATTAAAAATAACCACAAGTATCTAGAAATGCAATGGCACATTATGTCAGAAAAAAATGTATAATCATACGCCTAATACTCCATGTTGTTGGTAATAACAAAGAACTGACATATTAATTATAAAAAATGCTACATGTCCCAGAGGTAGGACCGAACTCTGCCAATGTGGGGAGAAATGGAGGACAGGAATGTTGCTAACCTTAGAAGAAGCCTTTGCGCTACTAGTTGCTTTAGTGGAACCAGACTGGGCAACCTTACTCTTTGACCTCAACAACATAGTCAAATTCTTTATGGTGGCAGAAACAGCAATAGCACTAATAAGGCATACTGCAGGTGTAGCAACAAGAATTAACCGAACCATGACACCAGCAAAATACATACTTGTGAGTCCATACATAACTATAAATATTGTCGCATCCGACAATCGCTTGAAGCAGAAATAAAGACCAGCTGGGAAAAGGAAAAGCAGAATATGGAAGTCAAACATGAAAGATGACCAGGCTGTTGGCTGATGCTCAGAGACAGATGCAATGATGGGGATGTGATCCTTAGCATAGGTTGGATCCAGCAAGGAGTAAAATCGTCCAGTCCATGGAGAAATATAGCCAGATGCCATACCAACTCCAAGGGCAATAGCACCAGCTCCAACTGCAGAGGTCACAGTTATCCTCAAAAAGGCCTGAAAAAGTTTTGTGTCGCTAAGCATGTGCTTAACCCAATCTAAGAAGTAAAACACCTGCAAAAATAGTCCAAGTCAATTCCTTGTGCAGCTGCCTAAACCAGCTGATTGATGTAATCACCATATCCAATAACCAAAACAAATTAACAATTAGAAATCGCCATAAAACCTACAAAAATTTTTCAATATATGATCTAACGTTCAAGAAATAAAATATGCATATGAAGCACAAAACCTATAGCATAACAAGTTCAGTAGTAGGGTTTATTTCACTTTTCACTCCTTTTTTAAGGTTAAAAAATCAACAATTGCTACCATATACTAAAGCCAAAATGTAGAAAAAGCACAAACCTGCAATAGGAAGAAGACACCCATTGCTGCCATGTGCTCCCCAGATTGTACATGCTGAAACCCCACAAACCGAATTTGCATTGCAAGAAGCATTCCCAGAACATACATACAATTATAAGCAACATATAACCTCATAGAATACCTCCCAGTAATTAAAAGCACCATCACATAAAGTGGAATCAAGTTAATAATAAACACATATCCTCCCCATGCAGAAACCATATAGAAGTACCCGAAAGCAGAAGCCAAAGCCCAAGACAAGGACCCTGTATTGACGGCCTTGACAAACAAGTAAAATGTCAACAACAGCGCAAAAATGGCCACACCCTCATTATCATATGATCCTGCAACAGACCTGGAAATGTAACCGGGGCAAATGGCGATCAATGCAGCAGCTATCAGTCCAGCCCCTGAATCCCAGATCTCTTTCCCAAAGAAGTATGCCACCACCGTTGTATTGGAAGCAAAAAAGGGAGCAGTCAAGACGCAAACTTCACGTATATGAACTGCGAAGCGGAGAAAACGTACGACCCAGTAAATAACAGCTGCAGTGACCATGAGACCCGGGTAAAGAGTGCCTCCGATGATGCGACCAAGAGGGTACCAGCTCTCGGAATCAAACCAATTCCAGAACTCGTAAAACCCTTTCTGGGTCAAGAAAAGAGTGGTCCGATAATTGAAGTAGGGATCGAATTCATGGATCATAGATTCATACCGAAGAACACTAAACAAACGGGTAATGAAAGCTAAGATGTAGACTAGGCACAGGATCGAGACCCGAATCAAGAGCTCCTGCTGCTTGGTTTTGAGTTTGAAGGTTTTGAAAGACAAGTTGTTGAGCAGATCTGATTTGAGACTCGACGCCGGCATGGCTGCAGCTGCTGGTTTAGTGTTGCCGTCGCCGGGTTCGGATTTGTTAACCATGCTTGGGAAGGAAAGAGAGAAATGGGATTTGTAGTAATGTTTGATTTTCTGGAAATTTTGGGTTTAAGGTTTGGGAAATTCCATGGCGGATTTTCTCGGGAAAATGGAGAGAAATGGGAGTGAGAGTGTAACCCTACAGCAGGATTCCAGGAGGATTCAGAAAGTAAAACGGAGATCGAAGGGTATGATATGAATCTTGGAAGGAAGACGCATATTTGGACCTAGAAGAATTGGGCCTAGAGCATTTCCATTTTTCTTAATGAGTCATGACAAGAATTGCACGACCCAGTTGTTTGAAGAAGCCAATGTCAGGCTATCTCAAGGTTTTTAAAACCGAACCGGTTATTGAACCGTTTTTGGGTCTGGTTTTTGGTTTGATCGGTTCAATCGATTCAATCGATGAACCAACCGATCCAAACCACAAGGGAAATCTGATGAGAGGGGCAAGTAATTTTGTAATGTTATTAAAATTAAGGGTTAAAATCGGTATAAAAAAAGAATGGTGAGGGTGAAATTGGACAAAATAGAAAGAAAATTGCATGAGAAATTGAACCGGTGGTTTTTTGGTTTTATTGGTTCCATCGGTTTCACCGGTTTTGATCGGTTTTGATCAGTTTTGACTTCAAACGGTTTTTGTGTGTAAACCGAACCGTTTTGATTACCGAGTATCGATCTGACCGGTTCAACCGGTCGATCCGGTCTAGTTTTAAAAATCTTGGATTATCTCAAGGTTTTAAAACCGAACCGGTTATTGAACTATTTTTAGGTCTAATTTTTGGTTTGATCGGTTCAATCGGTTCAACAGATAAACCGATCGATCCAAACCACAAGGGAAATCTGATGAGAGGGGCAGGTAATTTTGTAATTTTATTAAAATTAAGGGTTAAAATCAATATAAAAAAGGAATGGTGAGGGTGAAATTGGAAAAAATAGAAAGAAAATTGCATGAGAAATTAAACCAGTGATTTTTTTGGTTTTACCGGTTCCATCGATTTCATCGGTTTTGACCAGTTTTAACTGGTTTTAACCGATTTTGACCAGTTTTGATAGGTTTTGATCGGTTTTGACTTCAAACGGTTTTTGTGTGTAAACCGAATCGTTTTGATTATCGGGTACCAGTCCGACCGATTCAACCGATCGGTTCAACGGTCGATCCGATCCGGTTTTAAAAACCTTGGGCTATCTTGTTTGTTCCTGTGCTGGGCATTCGGTCTCCTTGTGTTATCTAAATTTCAGTAACTGATATTTTGTACTTGAGTTTGGCA